GGGGAGGAGAGAGAAGAAAGAAAAAAACCCTAACAAAACCCCTCTTTCAGTTTAAAAGGAGGAAAAAAAAAAAACCACAACCAAAAAGCTCATCAGAACTCATAAAAGTCAGAACCAGTGATCTTGTACCTTACATACCAAGGAAATTACTCCTTGCAGATGTAGTTAATCTCAAGGCATAGATACAAAGAATGCTGCTTGAAGTTATTTTCTTTTCTCTTCTGAGTGTCAAGGATGTGGAAGGTCCAATCAACTCTGGAAAGCCTTTTCAGGTGCCAAGGTAAAAACTTACCTTGTTTTCATTAAGTATTCACATTACGTCTATTAAAACTGACTGACGTTTAGAGGAGAAAAGATAATTCTGGTGGCATTTTTGGTGGGCTTTAGATCTCCTGACCAGCATTACTTTTGTGCTATTGCATAATTAAATCTGCACTGCTGTGTAACACATTTTTTGTACAACCCAAGTAACACAAAAAGGACATGGTCCATGTGAGTATGAGATGACATTCAGAACACTGCACTTGCACTCTGCACACAGACAAAATGAATCAGAACCTAAAGAATCATAGGAATTAGTGTTGTTTGCTTTCTCTCATTAATAATCACATATGGAAATTATTTTTTAAATGTCTCTGTCACACTCACCTCCATAAAGAGGTACCCTGTCCACTACTGTTTAAATATTGAAGACTATTTAAATGTTTATCTTATGTGTTATGTTTAATTGTACACATAAAACATTTAATCATGTTCTTGGCTTATCAACTCCTTTCTTTCATAGCATAGGTATCTTTATCACTACAAGGAAAACTCAAGAGCATTTTGAAAAACAGAAGACAGATAGAACTTCAAAAAAAATGTAATATCTCTTTATAAAATACCCTGAAAAACTGAACTTGTTTTTTCACTACTCCATCGTACAAAGCACCTACTGAACTTTAAGAACCTGATCTAAAATCTATGCATACCACAGGGAGCTCATGCTTTGACCTCAATAGGCTTGTGATCACACTGGGATGGATAATGGCCTTTGATTAGACCCCATATGTTGAAAAAAACACTCTTTCCTAAATACAGAAACTATATCGTCCATCATAACCGAAATTCACCTTCTTTTCTAAGAGTAAAAATACAACATTTCCATTTCAGCAAAATATGCATTGAAGCTTTTAAGTTCTGTAGGTAAAAATTACCAGGAGCTGTTGATTAGGAAAACAAAATCTATCCCTGTAAAAGATAGCTAATAGATTATAATAATTTAATGGTCTTCTGACTTTCCTATACAACCTTCATATAAATCATTTTTTTCTTGTCATGTGAGGTAATTCACTATTTTTTCTCTGTATGCCTTTTCATTTTCCTCTATGCTCATCAGCACAACTTGAGTTTTTTATTTTTTTCACGTTCGTTTAATTTTGTTTAGCACTGAGAAAGTCACATAGTAAAAGGAATAAATGCTTGAGCTCTACCCTCCTGCGGATGCTTTTCAATACTATATCCTGGAATTGCGCACTATGTTATGTTGAATTAATCTAGAATTTATTCATGGGACTGAAAGATTTGCTTTAAAGATGTCCATCTTTCAGCAAGAAGTTCCGATGAGTCCTTCTGTGGCAGCATAAGCAGAGAGTTGTGGCAAGTGGTGTGTATCTCAAGTATTTTATTATCCCTCATAATCTGATCACCTAGCATGAGAGTCAGTGTGATAGGTATAGACAGTTTGATTTCACAGGATTTAAACAGTTTTCCAGTTGCAAAAATTCAGCTTAAGTGAAGCATAAGGCAAGTATGGTTGAAAAGATTAAAAACACTACTACTTGAATGCAGGGTAATAATAAATAAGAAATCTAGTTGATAATTGCACAGTCTTTATTCAGTACTTGTTTATTTCATTTCACTTTAAGACCAAAGAATAGTATGCACTTCTTGCGATGTAAAAATAAGTTTTTGCAAATTTCTTCTGGAGTGGTATCTAACAATTTCAGGTAGTAAGAATATTGTATATTCCACTAACCCAATTTTACTGCTAAGTATTATGTCTATTCTTAATGTCATTTCAATCCGAAGTGGTATACAAGGAACTAATAAAATAAATGAATCAAACAAAAACCATCTAAGCTAAGGCAACTGAGCTGGCCAAGGTATACCATCTGAAATACAAGGGCTTTTTCTGGCAGAAGGTTGAGTTATACCACCCAAGGCATGCTATTTAGAATGGAATAAACCGTTTAATGACTGATGGAGACGTCTTCAG